ATTATTTATATTGATGACATTGTAGACTCCCTTAATGTGCACTGTTTACTTTATGCTGATGACCTTAAATTGTTCCTACTTATTAAATGCACGACTGATTTTCTCATTCTACAACAGGATATCGACAAAATTTACAACAGAAGTTCTGAAAATAACCTTATTCTTAATAGAGAGTATCCTCAAAATATTATCTTAGAAAGCGTTCCAACTCTTGCTAGTAGGCGCAGATATTTTTTCCTTAAATTTCAGTATCAATTATTGTATTGATTCCCCTGACCTGCTAGCAAATATCTATTTTAGGGTACCTAGTTCCAATTCTAGAAAGCATTGTGGTACATCGAAAACAAATATTCTGATAATGTCACCATTGCACCAAATCATCAACATTTATTCAGCCACAAATTTTGACATCTTCTGTACGAACACACGCATTCTCTTCTCAGTTCTCAGTTACGACATCTATAAACACTTTCGCTTCATCTATGCCTTGAATTCTTTTTAGCAACAAACAGCATCTTAATTACTGTCCAATAAGGAACCAGTAGTAATAATTCTAGCTACTTGGAACGATTAAGATGCTTTTTCTTATGTTGGCTTATAATTGGACTTAGGTCTGTTAGCTAACCTATCCACAATAATATTAATAATAATACAAGGAACGTTCTAGATAAGGAAGGAGACGGAAGATCACATTCTTGCTAATAGGACTATCCACTTATGATTCCTGAGTGAGATTAATTAACTTTAGGAGCAGGAATATAGTACCAGATGATCGAACAGAACTACTTCTTCTATTTTAAATTTAATTTCAAAATACTGATATTGGCAACACCAATGCTGTCTTTATTAACTTTGACAGTTACTGTCAAATAATGGGTTAAGCAAATTTTCTGGAAGTCCTAATTTATTCAATAAAATTAATTGTCTCATTACATTTTTTTTGGGTCAGTCTGTATAAGCAGTTTAAATAAGTTGTCACTCATCCACAACGAAATATCATACAAAACAGTGAATTGCTGCTCTGCTATTGAAGGCTAGATTTTGCATGAACACAAATGCATTTTTCCAACAAACCATGAACTCAGAACAGGAAGCGCAGACGGTCGACGATCACAATTATTTACGATCGTTTTTGTTTGTTTGGTTACTGTTCTTAATACATAAAAATTGGCCCAAGATCATTTACACTGTCTGAAGTACAGTCTCATAATTTCAACTTTTTCGAAAAATTATAAATTAAAAATAACCCTTATAATTTAAAGGAGAAATATAGTAAAATTCTTTTAATTTTGGAAAATGTGTTTGTACAATAGTATGTTTCTGTAGGTAAGTAGAGAAAAATGTTGTGCCTGGGTGGGAGTTGAACCCACGTCTCTATGCTTTTCGGGCAAGTATCTTAACCACTGGACCACGAGGCCACTTATCTTTCTCGGCTTACCGATGTGTTATTGTGCCGCCACATTTCTTTTCGTCCGACATACAGTATTCATACATATATACGTGTCCGCCCCTAAAATGTTAAGAAATGGGGGCATTCTATACCTCTTAAATAGATAGATCAAAATGCAATGGTCCAGACCTTCTCATTGACTTAACTTCCGCTTATTAAATAAACCGTTGCATTTTATTGTGATTTTCGATGTTGTTATTGATATTTGGTTAATTATAACTTGTCTAGATCTAGGGGAAGCTCAGCTTCCCCTGGCCTCTCCTAGGTTACGACCCTGTCGAGGGGTCCTGGAATGTCAAGAAAATATGTAAGTACGAATTCGTCCGATGAACTTCCTTAGCTTATGCTCAATAAATCCGGACAGACGGAAATAATAGACTTTTTTGTTCATACTCTATGCCATTCGCCGAATGTACTTTAGTACAATACTGTTTTAGCTTACGCTCGGAAAGTAGAAATTAAAAACAAACTAATAAAAAAAATCAATTAATGCATAATTAAGATTAATGTTTGAAATAATCCTTGTTTGTTGTTGTTTAGATATTCATAGAATTGAATTCTAAAAACATTTTTTATGGAGTAAGGGTTAATTACCATCAGTGCATTTTAATTGTGATTTGGATTTTATGATGTTTATACATCGACTTAAAATTTTGTTGCTATTTAAATAACTGTCAATATATTTTTCAGTTCATTATCCCTGAAGAAATGATGTTTGATGATTAATTTTTGGGCTCAGTTCCAAAAGCATTTATAATATTTGTTATAATTAGGCTTCGGATTTTATGTTGTTAAAAAATGAATAAAAGGAGACATTTTTAGGTCCCTAAATTGACGAATTAGGTTATAAAAAATTTAGTTCAGGTTAAAAACCTGAAGGAAACAATATTTGCTCAACGAAAAAGCATACATCAAAAAAATATATATTAAAAAAAAAACATTAAACAAAACAGTATAGAAACAAATATATTGTGTAACAAGCAAAAACATGATTAAATAAACAAACGATCTATAATTACGTCCACTAATTCTAAGTTATCGCAAAAAATGACGATCAAATTAAAGCAAATCGCATTTAACAAAAAATAAAATAATAATTCAGGTATTTAAAATGAGTTACAAAAGCAAACTATATATTTCTCTAAATTTTCGGTTGTAAATGTACACCTTTGATCGCTTAAAACACTTTCAAGTTTTGAAAAAGTGCGTTCCACATCCCAAGAAATGATGGGTGCAAAATTAAATATTGAACAATCTACGTTTTCATTCATGTATGTATTGTTGGTAGCTTTTCCATTACCGCAAATTACGTTATTTACTGAACATGTAAAATCGTATCCTGGATTCTTTTTTAATAGAGAACATAATTTTTGGAACCCCATTTCTCCCACCTTTCCTGGTGTGTTTCTTATAGATGTATACAATTTTTCCACAATTTCCATACTTTGGTTTAATTTTAAACCTATAGTTTCTAATTGTACTATTGCATCAGCAGTAATTTTAAAGTGAGTTTTAATATACAAGAGTTCATTTTTAACGTTTGCTTTAGTCAGGAATTCTTGAGCTTTTATAAAGCTTGGTGCATCTGTGGCTTCAAATGACATTACAACCTTAAAATATTCAATATAAGAATGATAGCAAAAAACCATTATATATTTACTGACTTGTTTTAAAAGATCAAAGAGTTCTGCATAAAACAATGCTGCTTGAATCCAAGTGCCCCACCTGGTTAATACAGGTTCAGGTGGGAGAGGTGTATTTGGTAAGCTGTTTTTATAAAACTCTACTTTTATTGATGCTTTTAAAAAGATTTTCTTAACATTGCTAATTATCCCATTGACATCTGGATAATTCAGTCTAATTGTTTCAGACAGCAAATGTAACCCATGTGCCATAAATGTTAAATGTGTTATATTTTCATAAAATACCTTCAAATTAGTATCAGTTTTGATCATGTACGAAGCATCATCTGATACAAACCATTTAACTTTTTTGTGTTCAGTTCCTTTTGGCCACAATAAAGCTACAAATTAACAATTAAACAAATTATAATAATTTCAATGCTTAAAATTATCAATAGCACACCCAATGATTCGTTTATAAATCTTCAAAGCTAGTAGAAATGGACGGCCAGCTTCTTCAGAAGATAACTTTCCAATTACTAAATGGGCTATGTATCTTCCTAATCTGTCCGTCGTCTCAACGACGCTAATCCATATATCATTATTGCCAATAGAATTTCTAATTTGTTTAATTACCTGTAAATTATAAAATTTATGTTAAAAAGTTTTTAAATAAAAATTCTAGTGCTCACCATATCGTAATCTTTTGGTAAATAATTTTTTCTCGGAGTGCTTTCTGAGGGTAAATGCCTTCCTGTATATTTATCCATAAAATTTTTAAACTCAGGGCAACTAACTTTATTACATGGAATATTTGCTGCGGTAAATGCCCTACATAAGTCGGTGCAAAATTGCGTAAAATCATTGTCGCAATTAATGTTTAATAAATAATAATTTATTCTCGTTCTTTTTATGTGCATCGCTACTGCAGTGTTGTTCAAAGTGTGATTTTTTTTCGCACTTAAACTAGGAAACAAAAATGTGAACGTAATTCAAGCTTCAGTACTTTAAATGTTTACTTAGAACTTTTCCACACACTTTGCAGAATAACTCATTGTGTTTGGTTGAAGAAGGAAATTGAAAATTAGTGTCCAAATTATTCCCTAACCATAATTTGATTTTATCTTTCATGGATGATTTTACCTTAGTTATTTTGAAGATTCTTTACTGTATGCACAAAAGTCAAAACCGGCCCAAGCACACTCACTAACACGCAAAGACACTCACTAGACTAACAATAAACTTCTAAAATAAAATGCTTTTTCAGAGATTTACAACCTTCCGGCTATAACTAAATAAAACGCAGGCCAGCATTGTCAGTTGGCGACACCAACCCGTACCACGAAACTCAATGGCTTGTTTACAACCCATTTTTAAACAATCTGCCAGCCAAAACAATGAATTCACGGAAAATCTCTATTGTGCAAGCACGTCCGCTTCGTTGGTCGTGGAATCCTATTTTAAGTCTTTTAAAATTTACAATTAGGTCGTTTAATTAACACTTTAGGTCTCTAACGGTAAATTAGGCATTTTAGGTAGTAATAAATGGGCGTTAAATAAACAGAATTTTTTAAATTCGGATAAATATATCACTTTCGCTGCAATGCCTGAAGTAGATATAAAAAGGCAAAAAACCTAAGATCCGAAGCCTACTTATAACACAAGTCCTCAAACAGCGTCTGGACAAATTCCTTAAAAAAACGCGGTTACTACGACCTCTTTCTAATTCTGGGAAAGACTTTCTAAATTAAAAAAAAAATGGATCGCTCTAGAAACCTTTCCATTATAAATTTTGTTGGAACACACTGTACATGGAACAGAAATCAATGTATCCTCTAAGTAATCAAACTAGGGAAGAAAGATTCGACACAATTGTCACATTTTTATTGTTTTAAAGTAGGTTTATTAATTATTAGACCAAAACTGACCTCATCCTGGTGATAAAGACCTGCGCGAGATCAAGAGAAGTCCACATTCCTATATCTGAGGGAGCCAGTTCCTCCCACCCGGCGTACTTGACTAGAGAGCATGCAGGCGAGGGATTATCTGCAACAAGATATTTGGATTAATGCATATTCATGTCGCAGTAAACGCGTATACTAATTCAACAGTGCACGTACAGACCATCAGCCAGTTTTATATGTATTCACTTGAGTGTTGATTTTAATTTTCTAAATGGAAACCGGCTATACACTCTTGTGGTCTTCATTGTTTTGACTGCGACAAATTGGCCATTACGGCATAATGAAGGAATTATTTTGTCACGAATTTAAATATCCCACCAGAGCCTGTACAAATAAAAAGATGTTTTTTCGGGCTCTTTGTCTCACCCGAAAGACACAATTGGGTAGTTTATCGCTGCATTTATGGATCGTTTATTAGGAAGTTTCTATTCCATTATCTCCGAAGAGTTAATTCAAAAAGTTGGAGTGTCTAAGCGACTTTGGTGACTTCTCGCTCGTTCACTATCAATACTTGTATTAAAAATACAAAAGTCACCAACTTTTCAGCAATAACTTCGAAATTCCTGCCGGAATAGCCTGAGACGACGTTTCTATTGCCAATATATTGACATGAGGAGACCTGTTACGTGAACGAATGGTAAATTGTTTGCCAGCTGAAAAGAATGGAACGATTTGTTGTCTTTTTAGATTATCTAATTTGACTCAACGTTTATTTCGAGTTTGTGGAAGTGAAAACTTTGTAAGTAATATTTCAACGCTGATGTTCGTCTTACACTTCTATCGGTATTATTGTCTGGTGAATTTTCCAGAATAACAGGTTTGTTTCCTCACAATGCTCAATAAATAAAAGTAAAAGAACATCAACAAGCTTCAGACGAAACGACTAAATTTTATAAGACGTCAGTGCAGCTAAAAGCTAAATATTATAGGTATTGGAAGACCGTGATGTTACTTGTTTGTGTACTTAAAACAATTATATAATATTTTCCAGGTAGGTAGTCCAAGTTCTTGTTTTGTTTCTTGGAAATTTTCCAAGGTAATTAAATTTAATTTAAAAAATTATAAATATGATTAGGTAACTTTATTTCGGTGTACAAATATCCAGTTTAACATGTTCTGCCAAACACTATCAGATATAACAAAAGCTGATGTTATAGTTTGCCAACACTTGATACGGTTTACCAGATTTGCTCTTAGTTTCAGTAACCTAAACCACCTGCTAACAAGCAAATTGTTCAAGCACTTCTCAAATTAATACCGGCATATATATTGCGTATTTTGTGGTAAAGCAACAGTCAAATAATCCAAAAATTAAAAAAATCAAATTTACAAAAGTAAACGACGTCAAAAAGGCTCTATATATATTTAAACAAACGTGTCTTGCTTTTTATTGTCTTGAACAAGTTATTACAGCATTTATTTCAAGTTACATCATTAAATTTTACTACTTTGTTTCAGAGACTCGATTTTATATCCTAGACTTGATCACATTTTTTTTCTAACCACAAATACAAAGCATGCTATTTTATTGTTCTTACAGTTGTGGTTATAAAATATTAGAAACTAGCAGCATGAATTACTGAACATCTAATTATTTTAAAGCAACCAGGAAAACGAAAAATTAACACCGAAATTCGAACATCTCTAACGCACAACTAACAAACATTTTATTTTTTAATAATTATGTGAGGTGGGGTCATGCATTTTTTATCGGAAGCTGAGAAAATTAACATTATTACAATTATTAACATTGATTCTCCCTAACCAATAAATGTTAACTTAGAAAAATAAACCAGCTTAATTGATTTTGCTGACAACACAGAAAATTAAAACTAAATTTTGGTTAGTTGTTGAGGAAAAAATTGGAAACAGAAATCGTTACTCTTTGACTTCAATGTAAATATTTAGGTTTTATATATAAGTATATAAGGGAACCGATTTTTTTCAGAACTTTTTATATTTTTTCTGCAATTCTGAGACAATGTTATGTATTTTTTCTGTAAACGTGCTTGCAACAATTTAATAAATAATAAATCAAATCTATATTTGCAATTTATTTAGGTTTTCGGGTGTAGTTACAAACGTCATGTTGTTATGTTGATGTGTGCTTCTACTTCTGATCTATACATTGAAGTAGCTCTGGCTAAACCCAGTATGATCTGAGTAATTTCCTCTCAACTCTTCAATAGTGAAAAATCATCTATGTATAGAGTGAATCACAATATTTTCAATACGATATCAATTATTATTACAGTTAAAGTTACAGATTAAAACTGTACGCTTATTTGAGTGACATTAAAATTATTTCCCACTGTACAGAGTAGTTTGTTTTTGAGGCATAGCACACAATAATATTTTTTAAATAGAACATTCCATATATGGTGTGCAATAATTTATGGACACATAAACGCTTGCTTGTGGTATCAATTAAATCAAATTTAATTATACTAAAGGGTTTATAAAAAATCCTAAGGCGCTAGAATTTTTATCTATGCATTTTTTCATATAGAACACCCTGTATTTTATTTGCGCATCGTATTCGATTTTTTGCTCTCTTTCTTGCGATATGTCGATGTGTCTCTTAAAAAATAAAACATCGAATACTTAGCAACTTTCAATATAGAAAATACTTAACAGAAAAGACTGAGAACAAAAAACAGAATAAGATGCAATCATTAAATACAGGCTGTTCTATTCGAAAAAACTGAAATAGCGATTTTTGAAAGTTGTAATAACTACACTCTGTATATTAAGATAACTACACCTCAGTACACATAAATGATAATTTTGATAATACACTCTTCAAAATTGGAAAATATAATTTCTTTGCTACACTTTAAAAAGCAGTGTAGGAAAAAATATGTTCTGTCTGTTTGTTGACGACTTTATTAAAGAAGAATTTTGAGTGTACCAACTAAAATTTGATTTTTTTTCGCCAAAAAAAAAATGATAAAAATCCATATTTGTTTTTTCTATACAAGCTGCTTTTAATATATCTCATTTTCGACAAAAAAAGCCGATAAGAGTTAATTTGTAATTTCTAGAGTTTTTCACCGGAAAACAGTGGTGAAATCTGAATTCCAAAATTTCCATAAATATCTGAGATACTGATTTTTAAAGATAGTTGATGTAAAATTTCACCAAAAATTATACAAGACTGACGATGAAACTCTTTAAAAAACGGCCTTTTGTTATATAGAGGAAGTTGTGGACAAGTTACATTTAAAATTTCATAACAACAGTAATGATAATAATAGCGGTATTACATTCTGAAAATGTAGTAAACATCCCATAAGAGAAACAGATAGGGACAGGTTTTAAGGTAAACAGACTCACATTATTGAGATATAAATTTCGTGTCAAACATTGCGTGTTCATAGTCAAAATTGTACCAACCAGTGGATGGAAACAGCTAGTTTTTGGACAAGAGCACCGCCGGACAATGGATTACATCTGGCATCACGGGAGTCATCCTTATGTTTTATGAAAAACCTCCGTTTATACCTTTAAAAATAAAATAGAACCTGTTGATCACTACCGAATTGTTGAATATTTGTCTCAATAGTTTAAATTATCTATCAAAAAATTTTTCTGCTATAAGGAACTGAATATTAAAACCACTTAAAAAAAATGGTTCAAGGTTACTTCGACAATATTTCCCTCGTCCTTGAAGTACAGTCCAACAAGTTCCTCGTCTTTGAAAAATTATAAAAAAAATTGTTTTCTGATACCTTTTATATAGTAAAAACCAGTGGTGTAAATGACACCTCGAACTCCCTTTGCCACGGGGGTGCAAAATTTCAAGGAAGTGCCGTCCGGAAGTATACAAACAATATAAAATGTGTTCAAAGCAAATGACCAACGGAAAAGAGTGCACATGCTTAACTTCGACTGTTTATGTTTATACGTCGAAAGAATGTTACGTAGAAATTTGTTTAGTTTGAATGAGCTGTCTCCTCAAAACAGAAGATTATGATTATTATTATTCTTATTTGATCATAATTATATAAAAACGTGGGTATTCTCACATTTTTTAGGAAATGAACTTCTTAATTTTATCAATAAAAATTGGTCGAAAGCTATAAGTATAATCCAACAAATCCAGCTCTTTAAAAAATTACAAAATTTGATTTTACTATTTTGTTTTGTAATAACCGCTGTAAAGTAAAAATCAGAGTCCTTCAGCAGTAGGTAATAGCAATCTAAAGCTCAACTGTTTGTTTATGTTTATACATCGAAAGAATGTCACGTAGATTTGAATGAGTGTGTCTTCTCAAAACACGACTAAAATTATTAATTCACAATCGAACAAAATGCTTTGAGTTTTGTCTGTGTAAAGACGTGCGCATTCTTCACATTTTCGAAAAAATGGGGTGACTCGTTCTTAATTTGACAAAAAAAATTTGAGGACGTCATCAACATGGATAATTTTAGTCACAGCACAAAAGGAAAGTTGTCACAGCGTTATGGCATAGCAAGAAAAAAAAAAGGGCCAAGTTCGGCATAGAACCCACAATCGCAGTACCGCCGTTGTCTCCTGTACACCCACTGCGAATAAAACGTTATTATACCTTGCAAAAAATGTTTTTGTGAAAATTTGGACGTTTGGCGAAAATACTGAAAGTGGGACTCGTACACTACAAGTATATGAGTATTTTCTAATTATTAAATTTGAACACAGAAAATACTTAACACAGAAGAAAGAGAACAAAAAATAAGACGCAATAATAAAATACAGGGTGTTGTATTTGAAAACACTGAAGCGCGTACTTCTATTTATCTCTTCAAAAAATATTGTAACAGATTTTAAAAATAACCCTATTACGATTTTTTCTGAACCGTCCCATTTCTGAAGAAAAATATACTTATATATAAATATAAAAAATAATAGATAACGTGGCAATGTTGCATAAGATTTTCAAAAATAAACTGTGACATTTGAATTTTTTCATTAAAAAAAATTGTTTCCAACTTACCGGGCAAGTTATTATTCAGTTCTGCATGCCATTACCTTTTCAGTTCAACAATTTGACTGTGAAGTTTTTATCCGAATAGTTTAGGTATAACTATTGGCGAATAGTT